ACAAATGACTAAATTTTGATCCCTGAAATCCTTGGTTATACCAATGTTCACTTTGTCTGGTTTTGTTGCAGCATGCCCCATATTAGAAATTCAAGCCATTACTTGTGCAAGGATTGGTTTTTTAAATCCAATGAAAAATGGTGGATATATTATAATTTATATTGGTAGGAAAATTTTAATAGCAGAAGTCATGGCCATGTATAGAAAAAATTCAAATTATCATTTATGGAGTAATTAATGTGAATGCACTGTCATATATTTCCGTGAGAGAGTTTTTCCTTTACAGTATTGTTTGTTTACTTTTTTAGATTTTCACATATAATATTTTACTTTACCTGGGAACAATGGTTTATTGTTGGATTCTGAAATAGGATTATTAAGAATTGACCAAAAGTTATTTGATTATTTTCATTGGATAAATTGGATAAAACAATTATTAGAAATTTTAATTTTGATAGAAATGTTGTATGTGAAAATGAATTTGCAATTCACATATGTGAAATTCAAATTGGTCAATCAGAATTTCACATCCAAACATCCCACTCCAAATTTTAATTATAGATTTTCAATTTCACATAGTTTCAATTTCTCATACAACAGAAATATAGAAATAAAAGTTAAATTTATCATATTTATATGAAGTCATATGCTTAAGTGGTGCAAGTGAGTGAAATATATAAGAATAAGATAGAGCATAAAGTCCAATAATTATATGATTCTCTGTTCTGCAAGCTAGGAGTCTAACAATACAGTTACTTTAGTACTACAGGCACATAGCCTAAATCAATACAATTACTTTAGTATCACAGGCACACAGCTGAACACTGTTGGCACACAGCCCAAGAAAAATAAATAATACAAGAACATACCACTTGAGGTGTTCCTACAAACAACATAGTAATATTAAAGGTGTTCCTAACTAATGGTTAAAGGTTGGTCAGCCTACTAACTATCAGAAAGGATCATGAAACAATTCACAATGGCTTTTCTTCTTTAACTATGCAAAAATCTGTAATAAATTAAGGAGGGTTATTGTTTAATTGTTATAGATTAAAGACATCATTCCTCTAACTTGGTCTAAAATTAAGTGTATTTATACCACTTAGGGTATTAAAAATAACATGATTTTTACAATATTTTGTCCAATAAAATATATTATAGCTATCTATCTTGTATAACTTACCAAGCAAAGTGGCTTATTATCTCTAAGTAAATATTTATCTGTCAAGAAATAATACAATAATATATATATGGAAATGTAAATACAAAGACCTTCAGTACAACATTACATGATATGCAGTGTTGTGCAATTGGAACATTGTGGTTCCAATGTAGATCTTCAATTGATATTGACCAATAAAATTCGTGTGTGTGTCACTGTATGACTAAGGTTGTGGGTGAAACCTCCTTAGTAATTGCTGAAACCACGGCAAAACTATATTAAATCTTATCAAAAATCCTGTTGAAACTATGCCAAAATGGTGAAACCTCAAAATGCGAAACACTGCCAAAACTCTAATAAACAATTAATGTGTAACCTGCCAAAGCCCTGCTGATTGATTTCTGGAGGAGTTTCGGCAAGCAACCTTATGTATGACTGAAACAAAACTCAGAGCAACTTTATTATTAATAAAAATCCAAACTAAATTCCACTCAAGAAAAACTATTTTTTGCACAGAAGAGAACTATATTAATAGTAGCATTATACAAAATTTGAGGTGATATAAATAAGTGCCAATATGCCAGTTTTCCAAGTGGTACTTTTTCGATTTTACAACACTCTTCACATATAAATTGCTAGTCTTTTTTGAAATATCTATTAAATGTATGTAATGCCGATCTATCCATAAAAAGATTTTTAACTATTCTGATCATATAATCTCCAGGTTTATGCATTTGCATAATCCTTGATGATTTGTTGCATAATTTGCATAATTTTTGCATAATTGTACTACACAAATTTAAATTTATAAAAAAATATGGGGCATACTGCAACAAAACCAGACAAAGTGAAAATTAGTGTTACAAGAAAGAATCAAAATTTGTGAATTGTTTAATATTAACATTATAAGTTAACTATTCTTATTTTATTTTATTTTTAAAATCATCTGCATACCACATATTTTTTCTTAGCTACAACTTAAAAAACTAAAATATTAAATGGGATAAATTTGTCTAAAAGTAGATTCTTATAAATGATTCTATCTTTGTGTGACATATCACACAATTATCTAATTTATAAGCACATATTTCACATGCCACCAAATGATGGCATGGTGAGAAACAATGAGTAATTATCTTTTCTAAGCAAATTTTACATCATAATGACTGTTCTCTCAGTTCTATTCATTTCTTCATTTAATTTTTTTTTTTAAAATGAAATATGATCTTCCATTTTGGCCAGTGTATAAAATTCATGTGCACAATGAGACAAAAATTGTTGTGCAGACTCTCCACAAAAATTTTAAATATAGTGCACAAATTCAATGAGAAATTTTTGCACTATTATATTTTTTATATATATATAATGCACAAAAAAATCAAAAAACTAAACTACTTACAATTTGTTGTGTGTACATGCACAATTTTTAAACAACTTTTGCACAAAACCTCAAAATTTTGTGCAACATGCACAAAAATTGATCAGCAAATTTTATACACTGATTTTGGCATTTTCTTTTTCTAGTGTCTTGGTCTGTTTATACAGATCTTCTTCAGATCCTTTGTTATTAGTGAAAAAGTCCTTAAAATCATTGAAATAATTATTTGCACCAGGAGAACAATGTTTCAGCAAATTCATTATTATTTTTAATTGATTTGACTTTGCCATTAAATTGAAATTGTTTACTTTTTTGCATTTACCTGATAAAGGTTTGTTACATGTATTTAATATTTTTATTTTATTGAAATACTTAAATATTTCAGGAAAAAAACTTTCCACATACCTTCATGTGTGGGTCTATGTGTTTGCATATTGAATTTACTATTGATATTTTGTACACATTCAGAACAATAATGTTTTTTCTCTTCAGTATCATCAACACTTGTACAAGGACATTTTTCATTATATTGTTGCTCTTGTTCTACTATTAAATCTTTATTATTTTCACTATTCCTAAGATATAATACAAATGTAAATTAATTTAAGCTAAACAAGAGTGATGATGACAAGTGATGATAACCACCATTCTTTTTAAATAACTAGAGTGACCATTCTTATGACAAACACTTACCCACTTCTCTCAAGTATATTATTTTGTCAGTTTCTTTTGTATTTTTCTATTCTTGTTGTCAGGCATAATTAAAAAAAAAAAAAAAAATAATAAATTTAATTTTTTTTATTTGATTGACATTTATACATGTATGGGTTATACAACCCCCTATTGGTTTTTTTTTGATTTTTTTTTTCTGAAAAACAATTTATTTTTTACAAGACAAGGAAATGTAAATGTTGTGGTATGGTATGGTTGTTTCTAAAGAAGACAAGGTGTTGTTTATTAATAGTGAGAGGTACACTATTTTTTTTTGTATATATTTGTATTGTATTATTTTTTTTTTATTGTTTTATAAATGTATCTTTTATTATTTTATATAAATGTCTTGTTGAAATCAAAATGCGGATGGAACAGAACTTGCCATGTCTCTTTAGGTAATTATTATAGATAATTCTTGTCAAGATAGTAGATTAACGATTGGTATAGTTTTGATTTTCATAATTGTAATCACAATAGTAATATTATCATATGCGCGCATTTTTACATTTAGACCTTTTTTGAGATCCCCAATTAATTATTTCCGCAATTGTGATTGGCCATCTGACTGATCAACTAATGAAAATCACCCCAAAATATTTAAAATATTCAGAAAAACAAATCTTCATTATTTTTTTATTATAGTCAAACCAATCCTTCCGACATCTAACCAATCCTTTCAACATCTACCCAACATATAATTTACTACAAGTAAGCTAAAATGTTAAAAGTTGTTACATTATTTATGTTAAAGAGTTATTTTTTTGTACTATATAACAATGAATCTATGTTAATCTATACAGCCAACATGGATGTTTCTACTGTTCTTACACCACCTTCTTCACCCACTTGTGCTTTACAACATTATGAATGTGCAGTTTGTAAGATCTTATACAAAACTAAATTTGGTTTAACACATCATAATACTACTGTACAAAAATACAACTTGCAACATGAAGGATTGTGCAGATTGCCTTCTGAAGTGATAACTGAGTTTAAAGCATTTCTTGTTCATGATATTCAAAGCAAACTTAAAGGACATTTTTCTTGATTAGGTAGACAAGCTATTTCCTTTCCTTGTTTGGAAAGTTTGTTTTTTGGAATTTTTGAAGGGTATATTCATTATTATAACTATTGTTCTGGTAATTATAAGTGCCTTTTCCAAGGTCTAGATGCATACACACAAATAGCTAATTTACTTGGCAACTCAAATTGGGGCGCAAATTTTTTGATAATGACCAACAGACCTTTGTTGTGTTATTTGATGCAAGGGCTCCCTACAAAAAGTTTAGGTGCTTAAAATGTATTTAAACATGCTTAAAATCTACTTGAATGTGCTTAAAATGTGCTTAAAACATACCTTTTTAATAATGAACAAAATTAAGTATGTTTTAGTAACCTTTTAAGTGTATTTTAAGTGTATTTCAAGTATGCTAGTTTGCCATCAAAAGTATGTTTTAAGTATATTTTAAGTATATAGTATATTTTAAGCGTGTTTTGAGTATAATTTCATATACT